AATTTTCAGCAGTCACCAAAATTTTCAGCAGTCACCAAAATTTTCAGCAGTCACCCTCCCCACACACACACACGATAAAACCTTCTGCATCATTCTAAATAAACACAGCCTCAAAGTGGGCCACGCTCCAGTGTCAGATGTAAACAACGTCACCAAAAGGTTGTAGCTGAAATCCAGCATTGGATTCGAAAGGACTCTGTCAGCAGAACCTCAGTGCTGTGTTCTGTGCAAGACCATCCTTTCAGCCTACACACAGCACACCAAGTTAGAATTCATTCTCAAGAAAATCTTTCTTTGCACCTTTCTGAACCTGCTAGCAAACTCAGCACATGCAAATTCACACAAGATCACAGTGGCATGTTTGCATGACCTGCACTCTAATAAATAAGTTTCCTGTCCAAAGACAGAAGTCAAGAAATCAAAAGTAATTAGCAGCTTCTTCTAGTGTTTCTAAATTCTTGATGGGCATCAGCTCTGAAGACTGGCTGTGGAGTCCAGGTGCTCTGCCAGCCCTTGAACTCACTTCCAGGTATTGTTCAGCTCACCTACACACTTACTTCCAAAGGTCTGATCAGATACTGTTCCTTGGTTAAAGGATTAAAACACATTAAAACAACTGGCTGAAAAATCAGTGAAGGCTACACAGTATTTGTGGTCATATAAAAAGAGAATATATGGAACACCGTGTTTAAATTAATAAATAAGGTTAAAATTGCAGGAAGAAGTGTTGCCACTAGCCCTTTCTAGAATGAGCATTAGGAGCAAATCCATTTAACTTTCAGTCCATCAGGAAGTAGGCATTTCATTAAAAAGATGTGCTCTTAAAAATCTCTGGGTTTTCTTCTTCATCCTTTGAATTCCTTTTGGCACTAGATGCAGGCCTGTATTCTAGTCTGGGAAAAAAAGAGAAAGGAAAATAGATTAAAAGAGCAATCAGAGAAAGAAGACTGATATTCTGAACCCTATCAGACATTACAGACTAAGTTTAATGTTCTGTTGACACCAGTTGAACGGGTCCTTTTCTAACAGTATCTGCCTCCACTCAGAGCCATGGCAGAAGGTCCAACTCTCACTGCTTTTTTAGGCCAGCTGAAATTAACTGGGAGAATTCAGCAGTACTTGCACCGCTTTAAGATGCAAAGATAAATTACTTTGTGACAGTTTGATACTGCAGAATCATTTAAAACATACAGCCTGAACAATAAAGCCCTTTCAACCAGAATTGTTACCTCACCATTGTGGGCTGAAAATACTTTTGTCAGTGAGTTGGTTATTAAATCCATAAAATGTCACTATACCTTTAAAAGCAAACATACAAAGCAAAGTCTGTCCTTCCTATCTCTCTCCTGCCAGTATCCCTTCACTGCAACACTCCAGTCACGGGAGCTGTCTCACGTCTCCATGATCCCAACAAGATCTGCAACTGCACACACAAATCTAACTCCTCATGTTTACTCCCCATGCTGCATGCACCATGTACAGACCCTTCAGAGAGGCACCCAGCAGGCTGATATCACAGAAAGTACCTTTCCCCACCCCCTGCCTTTCCCCAAAGCAGCAGGCTGTAGATATTTCCTTGCTTATGTGCAAATGCTGCAGCTGGTGCTGCCCAAAAGCCTTCTTTTGCTGATTTTGCATCCTCTTTTCTCCACGTCACCCAAGCCCATCAGTCCCTCACAAGGCTGCTGCTAGCTGCCCCTCTCCTAGTTTAAAGCTCTCCTTATCAGGTCAGCCATCCTACCAGCAAAAATTCTTTGACCCTCTTAGTGCAGTGCATCCCACCTCTCTCCAGAACAACGTTCCTTACACAATTCATTATCAAATATCAAATCTTTTGTAAGTACAGCCAAATTTTAACCAGCAGCTTCTGTGGTACAGGGGTATATTGGCCCTTCCTTACTTGTGCTGTGACTGCAGTAGTCTCTACAGAACTAGCTTTTCCTACTGTCAGCACACTTTAGAGCAAATCAAATACTTTAGCAAGACTCTACCAATGGGGACATACACAGAGGCACGCACTTACATTTATAGTTAAAACAGACGTATAACAAATCAGAAAGCAATGCTTACCCTTTTACCAGCAGCATTTGCTCAATCGTGTCAGGAAGAGGCATTCCATAGCTTTCTGGCAGGAACAGAGTCAGAATTCCTGATAGCACAGTCAGGCTCCCCATCAGGATGTAAGGCAGGAATCTATCGTAGGCACCTAGCAGAAAGCAACAAAAGCTAGCATCAATTCCAACTCGCTGCCAACATTTGCACTTTAGAACAGCTGTTAGTTAAAACAAAACCCTCTCAGTACAGCATCCAAAGCAGCTGCTGCTCCCTGACCTCCACAGTGCCACAATGGATTCTAGAGCCACGATGTGGACATGAGCACTGCAGTGCTGGGCAGCTGACAGTCTTCACGGGGACCCCCACAGTGTCTGTGTGGATGGGGCTGCTCAAGAATGAGAGCAAATGAGCAGAACCGATTTTGGTTTGGTTTATTTTAAACCCTGCAACTGGGTCTTGCACTGAGATGCAGTTCTGCCCTCAGCCCTGCAGGCAGCACTGAACCAATGCTTTCCAGCCACCAGTGTCCCCCCAGCACATTCACTTACCAAGATAAGCAAAGTAAGGTGAGAGGATGCTGCCAAGCCTTGAGGCCATGGAACTTGCTCCAACTCCCATGTTTCTGACTACCGTTGGGTAGAGCTCAGCCGTGTAAACATAAACTATTGCAAAGGCAGATGTGATCCCAAACTTCCCTAACATCACCAGGAGAATAGATAGGGCACGAATATCTGAAATTAAAATGCAAGAGCTTCAATAAAACGCTTGGCAGTTCATGGTATCTTGTAAATTTACTGACTGCACAACTCCTGTGTCATTAACTGCATTACCTGGTGTCCTTTCCTTTCTGCACGTGTGTCTGTGCATGGGCAACTTCTTTCTTTTAAACTAGGAGCCAACATTTCCACTTTCCTCTCGAGGAGGTTAAAAACTAAGGACCACAGGGCAACAACTTCAAAAGTTTTCTCCAGATTCCAGGGGCAGACCTTTGCTATTGCAAACAATGCCACGTATCCCTTTTTAATAAACTGAGCAAAGTGAAGCATTTGAATAAGTCATTTTCACTTTGCTACTCTGGTTTCTACAATCCAGTCATTTCTACAATGCTGTCCTTTAACCAGGACAGCTGGATTGGAAAATCAAAACAGATCATATCAGTTTCCAACTAATTAAAAAAAAAAAGTGACTCATAATTACCTATGTAAAATGAACTCATCCTCATTTGTTCATAAATCAAAGAATAAAGAAGTGCTAAGCAACAAGATTACTCCCACATCATACTTGAATTTGACCTCCATATATTGACCACAAATATGACACCGTATTTGATGGAGTCTATAGCCCTCAATCTCATTACCCTGAAGATGCATGCTGGTTTGATATCCAATAAATGTTGATTTGCCCTCCTCAGATTTGCAAAATGTTAACTATTAACTTTAATGCAGTGCAAGCATCTTTGCTTTTAAAAAATACTTCCACATTAACTTTCAAACAAGCTCTAAAGGCAGTCAGTGGCAGTCTTTTAAGCAGCAAGTTCTGCAGCCTTCAGGTAACCTGCACGAGTTTACCAGAGCTCTTTGCCAAAGATCTGCATTAGGGCAAAACTGGACTATGGTACTGATGCAAACAGACCACAAAAGCAAGGACCTGTCTTTACAAACACATCTGACCTGGTATATTTTGTGAGCTCCCGGTGCTGGAGCACTGAGAACCAAGGAAGGATGGCAAAAATAGGAAACATACGTCTATATTTAGTCCCTTCAGGATACTTTTCCTCCACATCTGCCCAATGCACGGCACTGGACTTGGCCTATCATGTGTGTTTGAGATCAACTAACGATTCCATACGTGAAGGCACCAGCTGAATGAAGAGAAGAACACAGCCTCCCAAGAACAACGCAGCAGCCATTGAATACCGTCGGGGGAGATTTCGAAGCAGCAGCCAGGAGATGATGTAGGCTGGGACCTCAATCACTGCTGAGAGGAAGCTGTTCACATAGACGTCGCCGTGCAAGTTGGGTGTGTCGAGAGAAAGTCCAAAATAACCAACGGAGATTATCATCCTGAAAACAGAGCATGGTCCATCAGATCCTTCTTCAGAGCGGCCTGGGTCGTTACCCGCCCTGCTGAATGAGCTCAGACAAAAGGAGGATGGCATCCTGGCAGATCCAAACAACCTAGGATTTCCTCTGCCGTGCCCAGAGTTGGCAGGATAGCATTCAAGTTGTATTTGCATGGCTCTGTGCCTGGTTAACAGGATGGAGTTTAGAGGCTGGGAACAGTGCCATCTTAACTGTGCCACTGCCAGACAGGCACACGTGAGCAGGGGAAACACAGAGGTGTCTTTGGTGATGAAATCTATATTGTTTTAGAGACACTGGGAAGAGGAGGTTATGCCTCACTAGCACATGGTAAATAATGACACTGGCTCAGGATTTGTCCAAGATCATCACAGAGCACTCAGCACTTCCCTTCCACTGCATTTGTGTCATAGCAGAACCGAGAGCAGAATTACAGCACAGTGTATCACTGACCAAAACTCAGTTCTCTTTTCTTCTCACTTCACATGAGAGCAACCTTCATGGTTCAACTGCTTAAAAATAAACTGCCTGGGACAACAGAGGTAATCCCCCTGCTGGTGTGTATGATGTGCCAGTAAAGCTGTTCTCCTCAGTAGCAGTTATTATGCAGTAATTTCCATAATGCTGTACAACACGGGGCTTTTAGGAGCTCTTTTTGTATTAAACAAACCTACTTGTTCTTGCTGGAACTCACTTTTAGTAGCAGTTTGCCTTAGCTTATCACACTGGCAAACCTGGATGCAATTACACCTGCAGAGAATTTCAATTCATAACTCAGAATATACCATGGGTGTGTATATAAAACGTTGCTGTGAATCAGCATAGGATGCTGTATATTTTGGGAAATGATATAAAAACAGATTAGGCAACTGACCAACAAGGTAAAACCAATTTAAAACCAGCCCCAAGCTACCAAATACTTTTCTGCAGGATTTGCAAGAGCATTTAAGATAATAAAACTAACTTCCACAACGTTGACTCCTTTTTCTCATTGCAAAACTTCATTTACCATGTGCTCTTCAGCATAAGAAACAAGGAACCTACATAAACAGCATGATGTCACTTCAGCCCATTGTTTTTCAAGCTAACCAGTTTTGCCCACACCTCTTTAGAATACTTCAGTGTCCAAAGGGAACTTTCTTATTGTTTTATTGCTGTTGTGCTGACACATTCCTGAACCACACTCCTGCTTACCACAGAATCACTGACATAATCGTGATAGTGAGGATATTTCGTGTTCTAATGAGATCCAAAATGGTGTATGTCTGTTGCCCCTGGGAACTCAAATCTTGCAGCTGAAAACAAGCAAACAGAAAGCATGGAACATCAGCATCCCACAAACAGAACAGTTGTGACAACAAGCCCACTGGCTTGACTTACACACCAGTATTCTGAGTACTCCTGGGGCCATTTTGGTATGCTGTAAAGCTGAACCTGGTGCTCTGCTTTTAACCAAACACGTCTCTTGTGCCCACATACAAGTATCTGCAAAAACAGCTGCTCCTTCTTTAAACTCACTTAACATTTGAGCTGAAATCAGTAAGCATTTTCTTTCCCTTAGACTCCATAAAAGCTGCTTATTTTAACTTCCATGCTTGACTTACAAAGCAACAGCTTTAATTTACAAATATAAGACTGAACACCTTCTGTGTGCACTGCGTACACTATGGTGTGTGAACATGATTACAAAGTCAGATTGCCACTCCAACATAGTGCATTCACTACTTTAAACTACTTCTGTCTGGCCTTTAAACTCTTTCTGCCTGGCCTAGCATCCTCTGCTTTGTATCAGTTCAACTCACAACTCTTTTTCCCCTGGAACATCAGACAGGCTCAATGGAAGAAGTTGGATGCATTCCAAAATACCAGTAAAGAGATAAAAGCACTTTGTTAAACTTAGTTCCTCATCAGCCTCTCCTCCATCTCAGGCAGGTGATAATTTGCAAGTTAGCTGCTGGAGACTGACATGGAGCCCTCAAGTCCTGTCCCTCAACTCAAAACATGTATTTTCTCCTCCACATCTCGCAAGCACAAAGTTTATATAACTCTGCAGCCAAGTGAACATTATTTCAAGCAGTATTTTGTCCTAAAGATCTGGAAGATAAAACAGCATTCTACTGCTCATGCACTCCACAATTCAGTGCATTTGCCCTCATAAACCTTAATTTTCTCTTAAAGGCAAGCAGTTCTTTACACTGGATAGCTTTTACTCTGCCTGAGCTTAAGCCTCCCCCTGCACAAGCTGCAGCAGCTTCTCAGCTCACAGCCCTTTCTCTTAAATCACATGATCTTCCCTCTGTGCTTTCCAGTTCTGCCACTCTTTGCTGCCAAGAAACCTACAAACAGGAAACACAAAAAATAGAAAAGAAAAAAAAAAAAAGAGAACCCAAACAAACCACAAAACAAAACGAGGAACAATGCAAAATTTAAATTAGTGATGAGAAAAAAGGGCCCTGCCAGGTAATACAGCCCCTTAACAGGACAGGACAGAGCAAGAAGCTGTGACAAGGGAAGGCATCTGGAGTGAAACCTGTCATCCAAACCTGTTCATTCCCCTCACGTCAGGCAATTCAGCCAACCAGGCCCTACTGACGCTCTATGGACTGTTTGTGATCACGGATCTGAACTGGTTTTGAAATCCAAACTGGTTTGGAAACCTCAGAGTTTAAACACTTCAGAGGACAGCAGCCCCGTGAGCTCCTCCATTCCAGCTGCACAGTGCCTCAGGGCCAGCCTGTTTCTGAGAATCCTGCTGCAGCATAAACACGTTTCCTAAAACCTCAGGGGAAGATGCCAGCCTTCTTCAGAAAGCACACAAAAGAAGAGGATAAAGGGACCGCAGATGAAGAAAGGCTTTGCACAAATTATTTTGTCACAGCTTATTAAAAAAAAAAGAAGGAAAAAAAAAAAAGAAAAAAAGATGGTTGGGAGTTCTGCAGTTAAACAAACCCCTGATAATTGAGTTCCATTTGCTTTGAGTGGTAAACTGTGTTTCTGGAAGTTGATGTGCTGTGATTTTGATCTCTGCGATCCAGCCTGCTCCAGTCCCCCTCCCTGGGGAAATGTGAACTGCTCTGCTGCTTCAAACCCAGCCCCACTCAGAGATGGGGAACAGATCAGTATTTCTTTCTAAGAACAGAAAATGGAGGCATTCCAGGGATGATTATCTTCACTGAATGTTGGAGCCAGAGCTCATTTTCTGTCCTCTTTCTGGCACAGGGTGAGTTTTCATGCTTAAAGCAGGAGAGGGAAGGAAAAAGAAAGCAATAACAAAAAATAAAAAAAAGGTTCTTTCAATAGCAGTCCAGTGCAAAAGCCAGCATCAGGTCTAGGTTTTCCTGGCATTCTGCTCCAGCAAGACCAGTATGTCTATCTTGCTATCTAGAATTTAGCCTAGATAAGTAGGTTTGTCTGCACCTCAGCGATCTGCAAGGCAAACGAAGCCTTTTCAGCCTCAACAGCAACACATCTGAGATTAATGACTAAACATTTGGCTCAGACTGCAAGACCCAAGAGCTTTGTAAATCAAGACAATATACAAGGATAGGAACAAGCAATTCTCTTATCAACAACTAGACAGTGTCCAGTGTCAGTGGGAATACGGCAGAGCAACTGTGCCCAGACAGACACTACAGATGTGCTTGGATTATGCAAACAATTTGCCTGTCTGACCTGTGAATAAATGAACATGGAACTCATTCTGCAGCTTAAGGATACCAACAGCTCAGAGATACCTGAAGGAAACGAAACAACTTTACTGCTAACTACTCCAGCTCAAGGACGCTCAAGTTTTGATCTCCTCTACATGAAAGCAAAGTTGAACTTGAAGAGCACTATTTCCAATGCCACCAGCTAGGATTAGTTTTCTATTAGAGCAGACAAGCATAAAATCTGTCCAGAACATAAGTATTATCTATAACCAGCCACTCAGAATCAGATACTTCTGTCCAAAAAGATCAGAAGCTGGAGGAAAAACAAAGACTAAGAGACCAGGAGACTGAATTCCCTGCTAGGTGCTAAGGCATACACTCCTCAGTGCAGTGTGGCCAGGTCTCAGGTGCCTGGAAGACCCAAAGAAGCCATTTGTCAGCTGCCTGGGTTAAGGAGATCCACTGTATTCAGAGTCACTGGGATAAACGAGACTTCCTGCCAATTTGCTGGCTTCATCTGGGATGTATTCAGATCACAAAGCAATAGGCAAAGCAAATTAATTACATTCACTTCCAAAAATGTGGTTTAAATAGAAAATAAAGCTGTTAATCATGCTAAAAATAAAATAAAATAAAAAAAGACGTCTTGATGTTTTCATTTGAATGTTGCATAGGATTGGGGCAGCAAGGCCTTTTCAAACCTTAATGAAAGGGTATTTTGCTTTAAGGCCTTTCCAGTAAAGGATGAACTTTTAACCACTTCAAAAGTACATGATACAGTGCAGGCAATACTGGAAATTCATTGCTTTCCATAGATAATAACAGGCCCAGCAAACAACCTGACTGCTCAGTGAATCTTACCTCACTAGGGTCAAAGATTACATCTGGGGCTGTAACCTCATTAATTTTTGCAGCCTTTCGGATGATGTCTTCTGCTTCTTGAAATCTGCCCCGAGAGATCAGCCATCGTGGAGATTCTGGAATGATCCTGTGTGAAAGATTCAGAATAATATGCCAGCATTTCCAAAGAACGTGCTGCTCCAGACACCAACACATGTTGTTCCAGGCGCAAAGAGCTTAAAACTTGACACGTCTTGCAGAAATTAAAGCTAAGACAACAGAAATCAGATTGACAAGAGCCAACTCGTAGGCTGAAGAACAGACTAAAACGTGTTGCGTATTTTAAAAGTACAAAAGAGCTGAAGAATGATGCAGGGGAAAACAAGTGAAAAAAAAAAAGAGCAACAGAAACTTTCAGAGTACGGGAAAAACGGTTTAAAGAAATTCAGAAATGTGAATAATACACAAGCAGCATTCTGCAAATGAAGAGGCACCTGCTTAGTAACTGTGGCACATCAAATCATTATTTGACTTGGCTGAATGTGGCAGCGTTTACATGTGAAATCTGCATGGGAGGAAGAGGCAACGGCATTCATTTTATGTGTCAGTGAAGAAACACCACCATCGTGTGGACGACTTGAGCTCTACAAGTCACATCACTGCAAAGCAGCATTTCCTTAACTAGGGCAGGAGGTTGCACAGGTGTGCAAGCACTGCTCTACAGCTACAGCTTGTCAGATCTATGCCACCATGTCACTCTCCAAAATAACTGCTTTTTCATTCTGCCTTTAGTTTAGGCCTTACCCAATGGGTGTTATTTGGTACAGAAGGATGAAGGTGGGTTTTTGTTTTGGTTTTTCTTTCTCTTCCCCTTTTCTCCTCCCTCCCCCCTCCTCCTTTTCCATGTACAATCACTTAATTTTCCAGAACCCTCAAGGAAAATGAAGACTAACTTCTTCACACATGAATCAGACAGAGATTACTCACAGAGCTGCAGACTTAAGTCTGAAGAATTGGGAACAGCAAAGGATACAATGGCTGCTCTTCTGTCCACTCCTAATTTTCAATGCTAAAGCCTGGCTGATATCTGGCTCTTAAAAACCCATTGACAAGACTTCTAAAGTCTTCTGTTTTCATTGCACTCACCACCACAGTGGGATGAAGAGCAGCCCAGGTAAAGTAAGCGCCAGCAGCAGCATCCTCCAGTCTCTGATGAAATAGGCAAACAGTGGCAGCAACATGTAGCCAAAGGCATAGAAGATGCAAACCCCCAACGTGCAGAATAGCAGACGAATGGATTTGCCAAGAATTTCTGTGCCTGTTCAGAACAAGAGCGAAGATTGGTATTTTAACATAAAAGCAACCACAAATAACTGGCTTTGGGACATACTACACAGCCATGCATTATTGGAGGCACCACAGCTCTGCCTCGCGTGATGATCTTGCATCAATCCAGTAACTGTAAGTATGGAAGGTAACTGATCAGACCATACAGTATTTCTGTAGCTAGAAGCAGCCAACTCTTCTGTATTTCTATGTTTTTATGATCTACTGTACCTGAGGACTTAAAACCATCTGATGTACTAGGAGTTAGCTTCAGCTTGATCTCCATAGGATCTTCTGCAGCTTATGGAGAGACTAGCTTCTTTAAAGGATACTTCAGAGATGGTTAGATTAGCCCATGACCCATAAAACCTTCTGGAATTCTCTATTTCTCTATTAGTTGAAACACTTGAATCCTCTGGTAACTCACTGAATTAATTCAGACTGCACTTCTATCAATGGAAACTTCCAAAGACAGCATGAGGTGAGGATCCACATGTGGTGAGGACAAACACTTAACAGCATTTCTTGACAAAGCAAACCAGCCCTAAGCAGGGAAGCAGACAGGACAACAGACAGCATTCTGGGCCCAGCAGGACTTCCATACCAAGAACAAACGCTGCCACATAGTTGGAGATCTGCCCCATGCCAACCAGCAAAAAGAACACGGAAAACATCTCCCAGCTGGTAGAGAAGATCTGAACGAAGCTGAAGATGGTCTGCATTGCCAGAGTTGCGAACAGCACATTCTTCCTGCCAAACCTTCCAGGGATCAGATGAAAAGAAAACAAAAAAGAAAAGAACAGAATGAATTAAATCTTCAGAAATTACTCAGGTGTATACTTAGGGAGATAAGACATCTGCAAGAAGCAAAGATTCAGCAGCACATGCACATCTACTCTAAATACATGAGGAGACTCACAGGACACGAGAAAATAATATTCCAAGGGTCACAGCCAAGTCACCTTTAGGTGTGTGCTGAAACACCACTCATTCCTTTCTGACAGAAAGAGCAACTCACTGTCAGCAACGTTATTTGCAGTGTAAAAACAATAATAGATGCTCCACCTCTACACAGCAAACACTTCACTACACAGATCAGCATATTAAAAAAAACCAAACAAACATAACAAGGAAAACGTTTGAAAGAAGTGAAGCATCTCTTGCTTACACTTTCTGGCATAAATACGATTTGCTGCAGAAGTGATTACTCTGAAAAAATAAACTGGTAAATATCACCCCTACCAGTGACCCCTGTGACATCCTGCTCTAAGTCAGGCCATGTGCTCTACACAGTGTACATTCAGATTGGGCACTCACAGAATTAGGACACGTTAGAGGTCACAGAAAACACTTGTACCAAGCCTCACATGCAAGAACTGCTTGCAAAACACATCAAAGACCAGTGGTTGTGGTGCATATACTTTACTTGTCTGAGAGCTGTCCTGATATGAACGATCCGAGCAGCACGCCCACAAAAAACAGGGAGGTACTCATGGGCCCCTTCCAGTCATTGTCACACACCAGATTCCACTGCAAGAAGAAAGAACATGAAAGGCTTTAAATCAACAGCATTTTCCCTCCCTCCTTCTAAGCAAGTTGGCTGAGCCTGAGGGAAACGTGCCCTGTGGGCAGAAAGCTTCCATGGAAGGAAAGAACAACCAATTTAAGGCACAGACAGAGCTGGACAAACTTAACTCCAACCAATGCTGCTCAGCAGAGGCCAAACGCCACCAGCTCCAATCCTTCCTCAGATCACCCATCTGAGGCCACAGCACCACCACCTCTTTACACAGTCAATGGCTGACTCTTATGGTTCTCCCCCTGTGTATGCAGGTGAAGGTCACTCCCAATTTCACTGCATGCTCCATTCAGCTCCCTTTTAATCCTGCTGGGTTTGCAAGGCATCACTACAAACCCCAGTTGTCTTCTCCTGCATATGGTGAACGTTTCCATTAAAACCTCACATTTATAATTCAAGAGAAATTGAACTACATAGAGCAAAGTGCCTCCTCTTTTATTACATTTTAATGTAATTAAATTTACATTTAAAATAAATTGACAATTTAATTTTGGGATAGACTTCACCGCTCACCAGGGACCTAAGTGCAAAGCGTGGGTCTGCAACAGGACCTGCAGAGCCCAGCAGATCTCACTTCTCCAGGGAAGGATCAGTTGCAATCTTCAGAACACAAACTGAAATACACACCAAGAAAAACACCATTTTCAAAATGAAAATACGTTAGCAAAAATAGGAAGGAAAAAAAAAACCAAGACAACTATTAAATGAAGACTGCAACAGTTTGCAACCCTCTTACCTGCTTCAGTTTCATTTTTCAGAAATAGCATTCATGTTATTTGGTTATTTCTATCAACAGCTCTCATTGAAAGAGTCTTAATTGTGTTTTGGTTATTGAGGGGGAAAAAAAAAAAAAAGGGTGTCAATATTCATAAATATCAGAAGAAAGCACAGAGCAGCAAGGATGCTCCTCGGCCCTCCCTCAATGCTGGGCTCTGCCTGCAGCTGCTGCCCCTCGGGTCCTGCTCACCCCATTGGGTGCTGAGCACAGGAGGGGAATTTGGAGGCCACCAGCACTTCTGACACAAGGCCAGGTCCTGCTGACCGCCATCCTTCAGACAGGGCCCCATGTGATGCTTTAGTGATGGAAACTTTGGGAGTTTTCAATTCGCACTGAAGAGGTTGAAATGAAAATATTGACGCTGGTCCCAACAACTCCTTCCTTTCCTCCTCAAGTTACAAGCAGTTCAGTACTGTGGGTTCTGCTCTGTTGTTTTTAACCTGGCTGTGAAGCAGGGGGTGACTCTCAGAAATAGGATTTGAATTTTGGGAGGCCCTGTGCAGGGCAGGGAGTGGAAGTGATGATCCTTATGGATCCCTTCCAGCCACAATATTCTATGATTATCAATACAACGTAGATTAAAAGCTGAAATTTAACATGTTTATGATTTAATCTGCACTCATGCCACAAACACTGCGTTACAGATGGAAGAATATTTGAGCAGTTCTCTGATGACTGCTCACACAAGCTACGCCAGCCAAGAAGCTCTGGTAAAACTAACAGTGCTTGGAAATACACAGTGAATGATCACCACCAAATTCACACAGACCAGAGGCTTCTGTGGCTATTGCATGTCTCCGTGTGATGGTATTTATCAGGCAATTGAGCACCACTCCCAGCACTGCACTGACAGACTCACCAAGAATCCTTTCCATCGGCCACCGGAACCAGACATGTTAGTTACGTTATTAGAAATCACTGAGTACTGTTCCTAAAGAAGGCCTTTAGAAAGAAACTAAATCACTTTACATCCCTAAAGAAGCTGAACACTGTACTTGACAATGGCCTGTCTCCTTCCAGCTGTCTCCCACGCTGCAGCTCAGCACCAGCCTGCACCACACTTGGCTTGCTGGACACCAGCATGCTGTGCCCGGTAACAAACATTTCCTGTGAATGCTGAGACAGAGACATTGCTTGGAAAAGTTTGTGGCTATGAAATGTGTTACACGGCTGCCCTGAGAGGTGGAAACACACCGGTCCTTCAGGCGGTGCCCTAATTACTATCTTGTTTTTCTGCCCACTCTATTCACATAATTACAGCAGCTGTTATGATGACAAGCACTCGGACCAGGCACCAAAGAGAACTTCAGTGTTGAGTTTCCAAGGAAAAACTAGCTTGGTTGTGCAATACCACTTATTTATAGCTAAAAACTCCACGGGTACAACTATCAGAACAGATGGATTTTCAGGTCTGTTACCTCTCACCCCAGTCAGTAAATGAATGAAGTCCTCAGCCTTTTAATGAGTCACAAGACAGGTCCACATCGTTCGTGTTGATGATGGCATCGGTCTTCCAGAACCACTCTGCAGCCTTACCCTTCCCTGAACCATACATTGCTCAAGAAAAAGTCACTGAAGCATCACGGTTGGAAGGCCAGTGAGCATCCCAAGAGCAGTTACTGATTGATTCCTGCTGCTGGCAGGGCTGTTTGGACACAGCACGCTGTGACCCAGTGCTCTAAAATCACGTGCTATTTTCATTTCCTGGTATCCCTTGAGTAAGCAAAGCCTTTGCCCCAGTGGCTCAGATAAGGCTCACCTCAGCAAGGTGCTGTGGCTCCAAACAGGAGAAGAATACATTTCAGCCCCTACTGCAAAGAGCAGCTACTGACCCTGCAAAGCGTCGGCTCCTCCACGCTGCTCCCCATTGCTCATGGCACAGAGTTCTCTCACAATTATTATTCTAACTTTGGAAAAGGACATAACCTGTTGTGATTTAAGCTTATCTTCCTACTCAGAGTGCAGTACTTTGACTAGGCTGTAAATACTTCTCGCAGAGCTCATCAGGGCAATGTCTTCATCATTAACCTCACACCTGCAGCAATGAGCTGGGAGCCACAGCAATCTCACACGTGCCTCCACAATCACAAAGAAATTCAGACTCTGAGATGAAATATTTGAGTTCTGCAGAAAACCAAGCAGCAGTGCAAACAAAGGCACCAAACTACAGCTGCAGGGCAAGTTCTGGCCACAAGTGCAGCTGATGACGTTGCCACATCCTGGTACTTCTTCCAAGCAACCTGTGCACTTCAAAGCCACCCAGAGGTAAAGGTTATCTACTTTTTCTGTCTATGGGCACTGTACCATTGTGCTTGCAGAACATTACCTGCCTTGGAAGGAGAGCTGACACCTCACGAGTTCCTGACATGAAACCCAGCAGTGCTCCACCCAGACACTGATGCAGACACCTTATTGCAACCAACTTTCACTGGGATTTTGCCACCTCTTCCAAGGAGATATAACAGGAACTAAACTAACTGCTAATAACAACATGACAATCATATTCAAGCATAAAGTCTGCCCAGTATTTGATGACATACCATAACATGGCAATTGCAAGTCTGAATATGGGGGAACTCCACAAAGCGTCCAAAGTCCTTGCAATTAGAGTGTCACAGCAAACAGATACAAACTGCTACCAAATACCTTTGGAAAGTTATAGAAATAATCACAAGGTTAACAACATAATTCAGGATCACACTGGTGGAAAAAAAAACAAACAAAAAAACCCCACACTTTTCTCAATTCGTGTTCCTCTGCAGCATCAACTGTGCTTCCCCGATACTGGTAACCAAATCCCTGCACAAAGCACTATGACAAACACCAAAAACTCTGGGAGCTGTGCACAGTTATGTTTGCGCATAAGAAAGTAGAAATGGGATAGGCTCATGTGCTAATATTTGCTTTTTTAAAAATCAACATTTTAGTAAGAAGTTTTGAAGTGAATCCAGCATTACACGCTCCCTCCCACCAACTGCTTCTCTCTGTACAGCAAGGCAGGTTCTTAGAAAGCCCCTGTGCCCATCTCACAGCAGAGTACCTACAGCCATCAATTCAGAATCTGGTCTCCATCATACCCATGTAAATAGCCTCCATTTAACCGAGAGTGTGAAGCATTACTAAGCAACTTTTCCTCTGAGAATACATTCTGATATCTAAGATATTTCATGGTCATACAAACAGGAGGGGAATCAACTCTTTGAAAGGATTGATAACTGCAGGACAAGGTGAAATGGTTTTAAGTTGAGGGAAGGGAGATTGAGGTTGGATGAGGGGGAAATTCTTTACAGAGAGTGGTGAGGTGCTGGAACAGCTGCCCAGGGAGGCTGTGATGCCCCATCCCTGGAGGTGTTCAAGGCCAGGTTGGATGGGGCCCTGGGCAGCCTGGATTAGCATTAAACGTGGAGGTTGGTGGCCCTGCATGTGGCAGGGGGTTGGAGATTCATGATCCTTGAGGTCACTTCCAACCCTGGCCATTCTGTGATTCTGCTTTTTAGATATTCTTTCACAGCTTTTAATCTACAAATGGAAGCCTGCATCTACAAAACATACATTATGCTCTCCCCTTGTAGTTGTTTTAAACCACCACAGAAGTAAAACTTGCATAGAACATAGAAGAAAACACCAAACATTTCATAATTTCTGTGAAAAAAATTAACTCTCCCAAACATCCCATTTCTGAAATGGCTGGAAAAGAAAGGAAACAGGGCACTGACACCAGAAACTGGGAAAAAACTGGATTACCAATCCAAAGTTACAGACATCCTAGCAGGATCCATCATTACTCCCTTATTTATTGTGCATGGCGCCTCTAAATGACCACTGTCTCAGTTTTAATGGCGTCAACAAGAGGTCAATCACTCTTTAAAAATCCTATCTCTTTTTTACATCGCATGGCTGAACAGCCCTGCAACACATGCTTCATACAGCACAACATGAGAACCACTGCATCTCTAAAGCATTTCAGTACAGATGCTACTCACATCCACTTATGAGCTGGAAATGAGACATTTCTCCTTCAGACAAAATTACTAACACTCACATTTTGCACCTATAAATCAATCACAGCCTCAGTACTTATCTATAACACATTCATAGTTGTGGCAGCTCCTGAGATGGAGAAAAATACGCAGTATTACCCTGCAGCAAGAAAGAGGACGTGCTGTTTGTAATGGACAAGGAATAATGGAAATCTGGGTGCGACTTCCTGCACAGGAGGAGGCCGTGTGGCAGTGAACAATGGGCCCAGCAGAGCTGAACCTGGCTCACCTGGCTTTGATTCACATCTGTGTTCATAAAGGATCCAGAGCCTCAGCATCACACCAGGTTTCAGGGTGCTGCAGTAGCTCCACAGTGAGCATCCTTCCTTTGCAAAAATAGCCACCGACAAACATTAAGACTACAACAGGCTCAAAACATGCAGTTCTGAAGCAGAAAAGATGCCTGCACTGGGCTGATTTCAGGCTGATGAACAGTACAACACGTTTATAAAACTGAAGATGAACACAGAACTCTTCATCTATTTAAGTGTCAGTATATAAGAAGCATTTCCATACTTGAGTACATAAGAATTCTCCCAAACTAAAATGTTTCCATCATCCAACATATCCTCATGATGTGACTCCTCTAGACTACTATTGCTCCAAGGCACTGCTCAGTTCAATCCCACAGCAGATACCAGGCTTTCACACACAGGACTGGGAGTAGAAGTTGGCCTTTCCCCTTAATTACCCCAGATAATATTTCACCTAGCATTACGTGCGAACTCTTACGACTACATTGGTTTTTTTTATGGGACACAGGGAGGAAGGATTACTTTGGCTAAAGTAAAGCTTTTCTTATGCCTCACGATACACTGTAGTAAAGGAGGAAAAGGTGCTTTGCTCCAGCAGAACTGGTTACATAGGGCAGACTGGCTACTGCTGTGTCTGTTGGAAAAAAGGGAAGTCTCCCTTCAAATGAGAACTGAATGCATTAAGCCTCCTCTGCTAAGCAGAAACAGAACGGAGGGCTTTCCCTGGAGTCAAGAGAGATTTATGCAAAAACCTTTCTTAAAAAACGCCCCATCCCCCTCCCCGTGTCAGCTCCAGAAATCTGGGACAAAGGTCCTCATGATTATTCAACAAGTTCTAGATATGCAACCAAACACAGCATTAGTCAACCATGAAAGCAGCAACACCAAGCCAGCAATTTAAACAAGCTGAACAGAGAAAACCTGCAAGTATGCAAAAGGCCACAGCTCTTGCAAAACTGGCTCAAAAGCATTAGTACTAAAGGCAGAAAAAAATGCTGCCTCAGTGCACGAAGTCTGGGCAGCCAACTGCTACCTCCCCCAGACACAGAACTTCTGCCAAACTGTGCAGAGCCGCTGCAGACTCGTAGCAGAACGTCAGCAGCTCCTTCCCCTTAGGGATCTCGGAGCTTCTGGATGTTCTGACAGTTCAGACCCCGTAACTCGCACTGAGTCAAAGCCCAGTGAAGAAGCTGGGAGAAAAATGTGCTGACAAATGACGCTTCAGTCAGGACAAGCACCGTATTGTGGCACTCAGGACAAAACCAGCACATTCACCTGCAAAATGCTGAATTCCAGAGGAAGCCAACTGCCTTACTGAGAGTGCCTCATCCCTTCACAGCCATACGTTTCACTGATGACCAGGAACTAGTTTTACTCTTTGTGAAGAAAGAAGTTCTTTAAGAAACAGGTGAGGCAACACCTTGTGGCAGCTGCCCAAGCCCTAAGGACTGTGCATGTTCAAGGGAAGTTTTCACAATTCACATTTTGCCATGCCCACCCTTCCCTGCGCTAACAGGGCATCTCTCCCACACTCTCTTCTTCACTCTGGTCCTTCACCCAAGAAGGATTTCTGTGAGCAGGCACTAAGTACACAAACATCCATCTCTGCTTGGCAGAGCAAAGAACAAAGGCCACTGGGCAGAAAACATTGCTACAGTTCTGCAAAGATTGCTCCCATGTACAAACAGGAAACTACATGGTATAAACGGTTAACAAGCCTTCTGAGAAGTCCTTTCTGCAGTTTGAAATCCGAGTATTTCCTTGTGTCTTAAGGCAGCCAGTGCCTACGGGTCTGCGTACCTTGCACCTGACACAAGCACAACCAGCACAGCCTCAGTCTTGCTGGCTGTGTGGATCAGAGGCTCTGCTGGCAGGACACAGCTTTGCTGAACAAGGACAGGGGATATCAGGTTGATGTGCAGCAAATTCGGGGTCCTCTGTAGCACAGCACAGAACGGAACTCCCCTACAGCGTCCAACTGCCACACCTGCAGGATGACTTCTGCCACCTTTAGTAAGAAAATAAACCAAACCCTTTTGATATACAAGTTTAAAGAGATATCCTTGAACCACCAACAACTCGCTGTTCCTGGGCTGACCCTCGCTCCCCAAGGTCCTCCTGCAGACACCAGCTGGCACCAATTCAGCAGGCACCGCATACAGGCCACACAAGCCAAAGCACTGCAACCGGAGACCACTTTTGCGAGTGGAAATAAACAGAAGAGAGAAGCCTAGCTCTCATACTAAATGCAGCACGCCAGATTTAAAAGCAGGAGCACTCAGAGCAGCCCAGGACAGCAGTGCCGAGCTCCACACACACTCCCTAGGCAACGCAGTGCGGGCGGTGCGTCCTGCCGGCAACTGCCGCTTCGGGAGCAGCTCCAGACGGAGCTCCAGGCGGACAGGCGGGCCGTGCGGCTGGAAGCAAACCCAAGAAACGAGCCCGAGCGGCGCGGAGCGGGCTCAGCCCGAAGCCCGGCTGCGCCCCTCACCTCGGTGACGATGGTAGAGCGGTACACGTCGCGGCTGTACTCCCAGCCGTCCAGGCACGGCTCCTGCTCCAGCTCCGCCAGCTGCACGTCGATACCGGGCCGCAGCCCCAGCGCCGACAGGTTGACGAGCGCGTCCAGGCGGTAGCGGCGGCAGCGGCTCGGCTCCGTCAGTCCGCCGCGCAGCTCCAGCGGGATGCTGGCGTTCCGCCACTCATCGCTCAGGTTGGCTCCGGGCGGCACAGCGCAGTGGTGCTCGGGGGTACCGGCCAGGAAGACGATGGAGAGCCCGTTGAAGCCGTTGGGTACGATGCTGGCGCTGAGCAGGAAGAAGACAAGGCGCTGGAAGCGGCCCCACTCGCCCAGGAAGGCGGTCACCTCCTCGTAGTCCCGCATGGCGCGGCCGAACTTCGCCCGCCGCTACCGACAGGCAGGAAGCGGCCGGCCCCGAGCCGCCCAGCCGCCGGCCGAGCGCTTTGCCATGGGCCGGGCCTCGCCGGCGGGGGAGCGGCCGGGGGTGGGGTTAGCAGGCGGAGGGCTCCCAGGTGGGGCCGGGCGCTGGTGCCCGGCCCGGCCCGGCTCAACCCGGCGCAGCGCGGCCCGGCCGGCAGCTCCCGGCATGCACCGCGCCCGGCACGGAGGCGCGGCGGGGGCTCGGCCGGGGATCCGCCCGGAGCGGGCTGGGCTGAGCCAGGAGGGGATACGGGATGGGACCGCGCTGCCGCCTGTGTGATTCCAGTCCTAAGCGCTGTGATAATAGAGAGCTGCAGTTACACCTACTGAATGGTACGCAGCCTGCGTTCCCGTGCTGGTTCTGCCCCCACGCGCAGCTCAACTGCAGCACAGCTCACTCCCCACTCCCGAGGGAGCAGAGGGAGAAAATAGGGTGGAAAAGGGCTCGATGGTCGAAAAGGATGGGGAGATCCCCGCTGGTTACCATCATGGAGCGAACAGTCGGATGATAACTGCAATCTGGATAGATCGCTGAGGACTAATTCAACATATAAACGCCTCTTGGAGCTGCAGCGGTGCAGAAGAGCAGTGATTGAAAGTTCCATCTGAACATGAGAAAGAATTTTGAGGGTGGCACAGCCCTGGCACAGAGCGCTCAGAGAGATGGGGACATCTCCTCCTCTGGATGTATCCAAACATGCCTGGATGCTTTCCTGTGCAGCTGCTGTAGGGAGCCTGTTTTAGCAGGGAGTTGGGACTAAACGATCGCCAGAGGTCCATTCCAACCCCCGCAGTTCCAGGATTCTGGCTCCTGCTCTGCTCAGCCTAAGGCTGGCAGCAAGGGATGAGCGAGGGATGAGCCCCTGGTGTGCTGCAGGCAGCAGGCAATGGAGGGAGGCCTCAAGTTTGCCTTTGGGCAATGGCCTGACAGCTGGGATTGCTTCTTTCCAGCAAGCCAAAATGACACCATAGTCAAGGCCAGGTTCACAGTGAGAATCCAAAATATCACCATAGCCAAGGCCAGGTCGAAGGTGCAAAGCCCAAATGTTGCCATGGTCAGAGCCAGGTGCATGGTGCAAGGACAAAACAGCATCATGGTCAATGCCTGATGATGGTGCAAGGCTGAAATGCTGCTACGGTCAAGTCCAGGTTGCTCACAGGGAACTGGGAAGAGCAGCTTCTTGCGTGGAAGAGTTTATTTTGAGTTTTTATTTTCATAACTTATGCACACTAAGTTCATTTCTAATTACTTATTTAAACATCTTTATAAATAAAGTGTTAAATTTAGGAGACTTTATATTTCAACTACAAAATACACAGAAAGTAGGTTACACAATGCTAGTGTATGTTTTATTCCAGTAAAGACAGGAGTTCCCAGGTGACAACAACTATGTGTTTATGTGTTCTTTAAGGTATCCAACAAACCAGTGTCAGATCTTACTGACGATAAGAGGTTACACAGAGAGACCCAGGTAAATGTGACAGAGGAAAGAGCTGAGGCCCAGTGCGATCGGTGGGAGCATCCAGTTGTGCTTCCCTCCCATCCTCTGGTCAGAGCTGTGTGTGCATCTCCCAGCTGAGGTGAGCACACAGGTCCCACAGTGAGCCCACTGAGCATCTGACACACAGCTCACTGAAGACTGCAGTGAAAGTCTTGGGTTTCTCATCAGAAATACGTTTATTTTCTGTCAACAGTTACTAAGCCAATTCTGTTTTCTTCAGCTTTACAGTTAAAAATTCAGTAACTTGCCAGAATCTGGCACTCCTGCCCTCCAGATTCATCCCTCTATGATTCTTCAGCAGGCTGCTGCTCTTTGAGTTCCTTCAGAAATCCCTGTTCTGGCCTGGGAAAGCTATGGTCAGAGGACAGAAATCCTCCTCACAAGTGCTTCATCAGCTGAAGCAATCTCATTTTCTCATTCTGACTGTGCTCACACACACTGAGTCCGTATAACAACATCACATTCTTGTCAATAATGCATTCCACTCTTGCTTTTTTTTTTTTTTTTTAATTTGCTATTAAAAATACTAAAATATGACACTAGCTTTTGATCAATGGTAAAAGCAAGAAAAATAAGACCAATTAAAACAAAGCATTTAAAAAAAAACACAACCCCCTTCCTTATTTAAAAAATGGAATCTAGTTTTAAGATACTAAAAAGTTCAAGAATATAAAAATATTTACCTTTCAGAAATACTTAAGCCTACAATCACATAAAATAAGTATGAACTTAATATAAAAATCTTCATAAAAATACAGGCCACCTATATTTATCCAAGCCCTCAGACCTGTCCTACGCCAACAGGAAGGTTTTGTTCAGAAATCTAGTTATGCTTAAACAGTTATTGGATAGATCAACTTTGCAACAAGTAAAATGAAGAATTAAATACTGCCGTCACTGAGGAAATTCCAGTTTGAGAAGGGATGAGGATGTGGGTTAGCCTTATGGCACATGACTTTTATGGCAAAAAGCATGACTGCAGAGAATTAATATTAAATTAAGTAGTATTGCTACGTCCCAAAGAGCAGCTTGAGATGATTGCACGAGTTCCTTGCATTTAAATGTTATAAACCTTTACAGTTGTGCTTGAACTTACAGGGAGATGCTCACTTGCTGCAAAACGCCAACATGAGACAAATTGCCATGAACTCTCACATTAAGAGAGGAGACTGCATGCTTTTGTTGGCCTTAACGGAATGTGAATCACCACTAAATGGTTTTCATAGAAGATAAAAATCTGCCTACCCAGCCTGAGAGATTTCATGCAGCCAAGAAGTCCAAACACAACCATTAAATAGAGCAGTAAAAGGCATTAAACTTCTTCTCAAACTATGCAGTGCTTGTAAAACAGTAGTAGCACAAATCTACGCTCTACTACATTCAACATTTCGTCTCATGTAGCTTTGCTGAACTTTAAAAAGAAACCACACACATAAGCTATAGGTCTTGAAAAACAAAATACTGGCTTTGTCAGCACTATTTTTGCTTTGGATAAAAAAAGAAAAAAGAAAATAAAAAAAAGTATGGTCCCCAGTGAGCCCTTTTCAGTTCTTAATAGCTGCACATTACAATCTCTTGTACAGAACATCTGATTTTTGCAAGCATCAAACCTCCTTTAAATTTGTAAATGGCACAAAGGTTTCTGTAAAGGCTTGCAAAACTGAGTTTTCTCTGAAGGTACAGCATAATGTAGCATATATTCAGAGGAGAAATGAAATGCTTTGAAAAAGAACCACAAAAAGATACAGAAGTTGCTTATGTCAGTGTACTATGAGAAACACAAAAGCTGAAAATGCAGAGCATGTTTGAACAGGACCACTTAGTCGATAAAGCCTGTTTCTTTTGAAGGTGGGCATGGCCCATCTAAAGGAATCAGCAAGCTAGAGCCCTGCTCAGTCCTTACACCTCAACACTGGCGAAGCCCAGCGGCTTCAGCAGGCTCAGGCCTGATGAAAAAGCATCAGCTTCTATAGGGACACATGGATCAGAAGTGGATCCCAGGCCTTGGTTACAGATTTCAAATGAGGCTGGGATCTTTCCTTCAGAGATGTGTGAGATGTTCAAAGGCACAGCCAGCTTCCCTTCCTGCAGTCAGTACGCACAGCATGAGAAAACCACCACCATCACCGCTGCTGCCTTCTTCCTTTTCTCTTAGCAGCTTTCAAGGAGTACATGACAGAGTGCACTGTATTAATACTCCTCAAGTTTAGCACATGCAGACCTTTGTTTCTCAACAGGAGCTGGACCTGCTGACACACTCCAGGAATCAGAACACTGAATTACAAACTAAGAGCCCTATGGGAGCAGACAGCATCTGTTCAGAAATTAGGTACATGGGTACAGTAGCACAAGGGACAATAACTACAGTGCCATAGCATTGGCTGTTGGGTTTTTGTTCATTTTCCTGTGGCAGAAAATGCATTTTGAAGTCTTGTTCTTCCAGCCCCTCGGAGTGTGTGCGTCCTTCTTCAAAACGGTGTCGTGAGAGTTTTAGGACTCTCCTTTGAATTCCTAGTGCCAGTGGTTTGTTGCCCATTCCTGAAACTGAAAGCAAGTAAAAGACTGAGAAGGCAGAGAACATTCTACAGAGTGAGAGCAGACACCGAGCCCTCCAAATTAGCACTGCTAAAATAACCATGTTACACTACTGATACAAACACTGGAAAAAAAACAGGCCTTCTCTGGAGGATGCCCTTCTGGATGGGAGAAGGAAACAACATTCTGAGCTTCAGCGTGATTCACTGACCGTAATTCAGTTACTTCATTCTGTTTATGCAAGATGTCTGCAAAGGGAATCTGGACATCAACTGCAGAGCTAAAAGCAACGTCAGGTATATGAGAAGTCCCTAGCTGCAAAAAAGAGCAGCATGCTCTTATCAAGGAACTCGGCCTGAGAAATCTTCTTACCCTGAAAGCACAATGTCAGCTCCTTTACCAACCAGGCATTAGCTACAGGCAATTCCATGTGCTTGTTTTGTTTGGTTGGCTTTTTGCCCTAGAAGGGCAAATTCTGTTCACTCTCCCTCACAAGGCTGAGTGGTGTATGGTGTCTATGCAGCTGCACTTGAACTAATTCAGTCTCCTTCTGCACTGATTTCCCAACCACAGCCACTAGCAAGCACTGTCTGCACTGCATCAGCACTGCAATGTATGACACAGATTTCAGTGGGCACATCTGCTTAGGGTACCCAAAGCAGCACCTGGTGGGGGTCAGCATTTATTTGCAATGCTCACCTTCAAGCACATCAGTGCTCAGGTTCAGAGCTGACTGTAGAATTAACAGCAACAGATCTAAAGGGCACTCTGAAAGCTCTGATGTTTTGCAATAGATCCGATGAAATGTTTTCTCATTGTAAAAAGAGATTTTGTACAAAGAAGCCCTGAATTCTTGTGGAAGATGGGATGAATGAAGGCCGACTTACCATTTCACCTTCAGCATTTGTTCAAAGCTCTCAGGCAGAGCACTGCCATAGCTCTCAGGAAGAAACAGAG